TATATATATATATATATATATATATATATATATAGATAGAGATTACGTTGAGGGAAGGTAGTGGGTAGTACCAGAGAGAAGGAAGAAGATACAGAGACAGGAGAAAATAAGAAATCTGAGGTCCAAAATAATCCTAATTTACATATCTCATTGGGGTTGTTGGGGGTCAAATGCAGTCAGAAATCAAGCATACCACGCCTCTAGGGAAAATATTTACAAGCATCTGCAAAGAATATCCGATGTTACCTAAGCGGACCGGTAAACTGATTTCTCAGATTTGTTATTGCAGGCAATACAGGCATTTCACGTCCACTTCTCATGGCATTATACATACACAGCGCAGCGTGGAGGAAAGTGTATTGTTCAGAATTCTCCACCATACCACCACGATCTAGACGAAGTCGCGAGACAATCCCGAGTACATCCACTTTTTCCTCAATTCTTAGCTGCTCGCAACCGATGCACAAGGCGATGAAACATCCGGTTCTACCAACGCCGGCACTACAATGTACGACTACAGGCCCAGTGGAACCAGAAGCAGACAACGGAGCAGGATCAGATGCCCGATAGGCTCGGTAGCCAGGAGTTCCAGCAAGACAAAGACCTCCACTAGTTGTTTCCGAATCACCAATAGTGAAGAGATCAAACGCTGTTGTAGTGGGGGAGCTTCCTTCTTCTGGTAGAGGTGAATGAAAACGGAGATCAAAATCGGCGTCAGACCACTCCTCGGCTGCTTGTCTCGATAGTGATCTTGGTGAAGTTGGGGGAAGTGGAGAATTTCTGATAAAAATGGGAGCGGGAGTAGAAGGGAGGGAGGACCCATTATTTTGATGTCTACAAGCTTCGGTCTCATTCACGAGATCAAGTAAACTTCGAGCAGATTCAACTGTTGCCTCAGGAGATGAATGATCTGACCACCCGATATACCAAAAGTGAGTCACCTTACGTTCATCACCATCCATTTTTAGAATGAGTTTACGCTCAGTGTAGCTCTCCTTTTGCGTCACAGCAATTACTCGCACATGGATATTGCCAAAAGTGCGTTGAGCACCAACTGGTGAACAGGTGCGCGAAAACTCCTCACCCCAAAATGCGGGAGTCGGAGGAGTGGGTAGTGATGTGGCAGTTTGAAGAACCGCTCCTCCTGACCGAGAATGTGCCTCGCTAATGCAACACGGGGGTCCCTCAGGAACCCCCTGCTCTCTCACTGGTACAGTGTCTGCACGAATGGGGGCGTTAATTGTCCGATCACAAGTTTCGTTCTTTGAGGTAGGAAGGTAGAGTTCGCATTTGCTCCTCTAAAAATGAAGAAAATGCAATAAATAGGCGATTACAACACTGTGACTCTCAAGTGGAAATCGATTTTTAAGGTGGGGAGGGAGAATAAGTACTTGCGCGAGAGACAGAAATAGACTAATTAAGAAACAATATCTTACGCCTGTTAAATCTCATGGAAATGCTTTTGATAAAAGAGTATGGTGTGCATTTTTTTCCTAATACTACTCAACAAACCGTGCCGTATGTGAAAGTTCTCTAATAAAACTGTCATTAAGAGACGGAAGTTCGTAAGTGCAGCCTTAAAATGGACGAGTTAGAAACAAGCATCGTGACCACAAAGCACACGGATTACGCATTGTTTATATAAAGTGGAGCATTTTAAGCAGAGACAATTATTTTCGGATTATATTCATTATATTTTGTGGCGGAAGGCGAAGACAAAGCAAGCAAAGGAAGGCCATGAAAAATTGGCACGCTAAGACACGTAATTAATGCTAAAATGAAGTTGACGTTGGCGTTCACTACTTAATTAAGGTGTCTATGGGCATCAAACCTAAATTGTAAATAGTATTGACAATTTTGGCTGAAAGTTAGGAAGTTCGTTCGAGTTGCAAATTTAGAGGCGTTCAAATAAATCGAAAGTAATAATAAAAGATTAAGACGACCCTCTCTAGGTCAAATAACAGCAGAGATCATTTTAAAAATTACCAGGAATACCATGTTTACAATTTTGAAAAAAAAGTTTCTTAATTCATTCAATTACACCATAAGATGGTCTAAAACTCAATCACAGCAACCCCATTGGCGATTGGCTAAGCGAATCAGCAGTACAAGACACTAACTAACTAACTAACACTATTTGGAGGAAAGGCAACATTTAAGTAAATCAAGAATAGTTTCCGACACTTTGCAAGAAGAATAGGGAACATTTTTCAAACCATATGACATTATCGAACCACCACCACCACCACCATGATAAAGATATATCAAAGATCTTACTGAACTACGCAGAAATGCCCTTATAACGCAGTGCACACACGCGTCAGATGATCGAAACCTAAAGCCACTGGAATCAGAGAGTGTGATTAGGCTTACTTAAAATACCCTTCCTTCACGCTCACCTTATCATGCTCGCAGATCTTGGTTAGCATGACAATAGCCGGCGCACGATAATGCCAAACCATTCTCCAGAAATCGTTGATCGTGTGTGACATTGGACCTTGTGTTGCTATGAAGGCTCGTGGTCGACCCTGATAGCCCTAAAAAAGGAATAATCTCTGCGTGGTCACCAGTAAACGGCGAATAGTTCGGAGTAAGGGTATGACAAAAACACTTACATGAATGTAATTGGCATTAATGTAGCTGGTCATGTCATCATTATTAATAGCGGGAAGGATTACCCTTGTATTATTATCTACAAAGAAGGTGCAAGAGTCAATTGAACGCCATTATACTAGTCTTTTACAAATTGAAAACTCAGTTTCACTTCATCACAAGACTGCTTTATAAACAAACGAAAGTAGCGGCTGTAGCGAAAGGAAATACTAATTACTAAAACACACTCAGGCTGTAAAGGAGAGTCATCCAGCAATCGTGTTGAACAGAATGGGAACTACTATGTAGAGGAGCTAGCCTCTAACGAGAGTGATATTTAATCGGTACGGGTGGAAATGTCCTTCACTGAAAATGAACCAGTGAGTAAATGTTTTATACACCAACATTTTGATCAACCCGTGATTCACCAAAGGTGAACTTAAATGGAAACAAGAACCAAACACTCGAGAGTAAATTCGGTTTCTTTTTTAACAAAAAATAACTAAATGAAGGCTTTCTATTGGGTAATAAAGACAAACCAATTAGTGATTTACAAATGTCACACCACACATGGTTCAGGGCATCCAGGTGAGAAGACTGAGTCCCTTATCGCTTGATTTTTCACTGAGTTCCCACTGTGTGGTTCAGGGAATTCTTGACGTTTATCACTTCAGTTTATGAATACGTACATTTACCATGTTACTGTATAATAATCTGTTTCTATGTGGTAATTATCTTTTAAGTGCAATGTTTTATGCACCCTTAAGTGAAATATTACTAAAATATTCGAAATATAAGCAGATATAAAGTTAACCTACGTGGCAGAACTTCATGATATCGATTCTTCTGCCCCACACCCACCCAAGGACAATCGGCTTTGTTAGCATAGTTCATGGGAATGTCCCAGAATTCCTTATAAAGCCTATCCTCTCCACCAGGGCCCAGCTTGGCTTCAAGGGCTTCAGGAGTTAAAGGAAGGGAGGCAGTTCGCAGAGTGACCCTATCAACAATTCGACTAGGTTCTTCTCCGGTCATGGGTCGAGGCGAGAGGTTCACAGCAGTGGCAACCTCTGCAGCAACACCGGCGACAGCTGTGAGAGCACAAGTGCCAGAGGATGCAACTCCCGATCCTCCCATGGATTCTCTCTCCTTAGAGGGGCTATCGTGCCTGAAAGTGGCGTAGGTAGCGTGCTGATTGTCGGCAGTGAGAAGACGGTTGTTCTCCTTGCTGACAGATCCACGAAGGAAGGTGTTGACAAGTGGTGAGGGACTGCTGGATGCTCCAGAGTGAAGATCGAGAACTAGGGCTGCACGCGGACCTCTTCGACTGTGGAAATTGAGAAGAGGAAGAAGGATATATTTGATCTTAACTCCACAACACGAAGCACTCCGTAAGGTGTCAATAATCGTTAAAAAGCGACCAGCTTACTGGTTATAACAATGTAGCAGACACATTGAAAGCATTAGATGAGGAAAAGAAAGTTTTATTCCCGAAAACAAGTATGTAAAATCCGTAGGATCGCATTTCATCTCGATAGGGTGTACAGTTAAATTACCATGGACGAAATAGATTTACGATTAAATTAAATTTTTACCATTAACAGAGCATAAACAAATGTCAAAGAAGCAAAACAAGTACAAAAATTGTGAGCTTTAAGCTTATTGCTGGGTAGAAATAACGTGATTAGAGTAATTAAGTTGCCAATTAGATAAAGTAGGACACAGCTTAAACTGCGAACCACTTTTAGCAAAAACGTAACTGCTACTTAATTGAGTGCAATTCAATTAATATAGCTGATATTGGAACCAACGTACACAATGCCTCAGAAAACTACTTAATGGTGATAGGAAATGAGGGAATCAAGAAGTGTGCTACGCAATAATTCGGAAATTGGAATTAGAATTGTCCAAATTTTACAAATGAAATTATCCTGATTGTGCTGAAGCAATCATTCTGCAAAAAAGTCAAGTTACCCAAATACAGCTATTTCAATTAGAAGGCGTTCAATATGGTCTAAAAACATTTTTTAATAAAACAAAACTAGGGCCATATTTTAGAGAGTGCTATTTCGATTCTCACCAAAAGATAAATTACATACTATTTATTTTGGTTGGATTAGTTTGATAAAATAAAAATACGCGAAATCAAAACTCAAGTGCAGTAAGACTATTCTTGGGACTGGCATTTCTCTCAACTGAGACGCCTTGATACCATGACGTGTTAGAGCTAGTATCTTTTGAACTCCCTCCCCTCCCCTCCTCCACCTCCTCCTCCTCCTTCTGCCCAACAGTTGTTAAATTTTCTGCTAACCGACTTCAGTCGCTTTCCACAATAAAAAATTGAACATTGTTTCGTAACACACTGTACCTATTAATAGTTATAGAGTCATTGACCTATTTGAAAAGAAAAGTAAATCTTACTGTATTTTAAACAATCGAATTGACAACAAAGTTAGGGAAATGATTACGAACCCGTAAATGCACTTGCAACGAGTACATGACTAATGAAAATGGCGATTTGGTCACGAATTTTTTCAGCACCAATTTCAAAAAGATTGTTAGGGAAGGAATAATCCACACGGAATCTTGTGATCATGTATTATTAAAAAAAACTAACACAAAAGCATACCAATTAAAAAGCCCAACAAAGCATTTGGAAGCAAAACAACTTACGTTTGTAATGACGACTCTTGCCGTGGATTGCTAAAGCGAATATGAATTCCAAATATCAAATATCTTATAGTGCGTATCAATATGGAAATGTTGGAAGTAAAAAGTAACTGAGGCAACGCATAAAAAAAAGCCATGATAAGACGATAAGGTGACACTCACAGTTCAAGGAGACTCATATTTTTTGCTTTGGGCTGTTCTTCAGCAAAGCATCCGCCACCCATTGAAGTATTGGAGGAATCATTTTTTCTGTTGCCTGATTGGATATCTCCTGCTGAACAAGAAGATTCCATTAGGTTGGCCCTCTGTTGTCCCAGTTTTACACCAGGTCGGGGATTTAAGGGTGGTTGAACCTGAAAGATATGGGTTTCAATTGGTGGAATTGCTGGCGACGCAGGCAAAGATGCGCTGGCAGTTGGTGCAAGAGCCAAGTTCAAATGGACTTGGTCTTGAACTGATTTTGTTGGTGATGGTGAAGCTGCTTTCTGTATTTGTACATTATTTGTCGTAGTGGATATCACCAATTCAGAGGTGGTTTTGAGGCAGCTCTCCTCTGTGTAGGGGAGAGAATTAGCTGAAGTGGTGATGGGATCATTGCCTTCATCAGTGGAAGTCTTGCCGATTCCAGGAGTGCTAGTGGCGTTCAGTGTACAACAACAGCAACAAGACGGTGGATCAAAAGAAGACCCCTCAGTTCCATCATTAAATCCCAAAACACCGCTATCCAGGGCACGTCCATCGTCATGATCCAAATCAGTGGAGGGCGAGGACTTATCACCTAGATCGTAGCAAGCATTATTGACCTCAGCGATGGAACCTTTTCGACGTCGTGAATAACTGGAACTTCGCTCAGATTTTAGTGGATCCCGACGCTTTCGCTGCACACACCAACTCAACTAAAAGGCGATATAAATGAAATAAACTTAACGAGAATGCGTGCGAAAAAGCGAGTTTTTAATTGACTTTCAAAACAAGGTCAGTAAGTGAAAATAACACAGGCAATGCAGAATAAGTGAAAAAAAACATCGTCACAAGTTCAAATGGCTAAATGAAATGCTTAACCGCCTAAATGAAAAGTGGGTACAATCATGTAGTTAGTAATGAAATTAAAAATAGGGGGCAAATAGAAAGTAGAAAAAGGAAGAATAAAATAGTAGAAAAGGAGTACGAATCGAATGCTTTAACTATAATCCAAATTGTAGTAAGAACTGCAATGATCACAAAGAAATGTATTAAATAAAGTAAGAAAAATTGAGAAAAAACAAACCTTTGAGAAGTGCACCTCATCTAAGCAAGTGATCAAGAAAGCTAGTATGACAAAGTGACTTTAATAAATTACTACAGAGGGACTATTAACTAGATTTGCATGCAAAGTGAATTAAAGAACTCCTTAGGCACCTTTAATCTAAGAGAGCATCGTGTCTTAATCAACTAATCATATTGCCTAGTGGGAGGGAGGAGGAGGTAGACATGCTTACCTTTTTCTCGAAACGTCTAAGACTCAAAGAAGACGTTGTATTCATATTGGGATGTAGGAAGGAGAGATTGTAAAAATGTGACTTCTAGGGGGCTAGACAATAAAGACGACTGAGAAGTAGAGTACCGGATGTGTTTTGGCAGAACTCCGCACACAAAGCGCTGTCGAGTAAGAAAATACCTTCACGAAAATGCCTCTCTCTCTCTCTAATGTGTATGTATACCGCCTAAGTGAGCGACTATGCGTGCGTGGTGGCGGTTGCACACAATGGTGCGCAGGTGCCCCCCTAATTGTACGCACGCAAAGATCTCACCACAAGTGGGCCTTATGTAACACCTCCTACGCACGGAAACCCATACCCATTAACACCACCGAACAAGTACACACACACACACACACAATCCACAAGCAAGCAGGGGGCGACACAATGAAATGAACTCGCTATTTAAATTAGATATAAGTAGGACGTCGAAGCATGGGAGATGTCAATGATGTTCAAGACGTTTTGACATAACGCCATTCCACTGGCGTTCATTAAGCTAACCCTGTTTCGATATGCACTGTGAAGGAGAAGTGACATAGCAAAGTGAGCTCAATACTGAAATTAGATAAAATAAACATCCGAAAGAGCGATATCCTGTTGGTGCTCAAGAGGAAAGTTTCTTATTACAAAGGTACGAGTGAAGCATTGCAATTTAAGCCTGCATCCCTACCATTATGCCAGTTTCTGTGAAGGTGAGAAACGTTTTAGGAAGTAAATTACATTTTTCTCCTCCCAAGCTGCTCCTATTTTTCTTCATTATGTGCTTCGAACTTAATTACAGTGTGAAGATTTCTCTCATACCACATTGACAATCAACTAAATATTAGAGCTCTAATCCCTTCTGCTTTTTTTTCAATCAGTGGAGTCGTGGTTCAAAAGAGGGCTTGAGTCAAATTACCTTCATTTTTGCAATTCTTGGAAGCACTTTTCGCACTCCTTCACCTCTCTTCACTATCATGGATTGTTGGCTCTATTTTCTGTGTTTTTCGCGATCTGTTGGTGTGTGTGTGTGTGTGTGCGAATTTAGCCATTATCCTTAAATCAGTTTGCTGGTTGCTGACTTGTGCGAAGTATAAGTAAATTTCGAGTCTCCGTTTGCTTGAACGTAACTGATTCTGAAACGTGAGCTACTTTTTAGTTGCATTCACATGAAAATTAGGGGCTAAACTTGCGAGAAATAGTGAAAAATTTGCCCTCCCCCTGTTAGATACCTCAATATGCTTACTCACGACAAAGTAGATCCATATAAAATTGCCTACATGGAAAATTTGGCTAACCTTGATAAAAGTTCAGAATTTATTTCTGACTGCACTTGGAAAAAAGTCTCAGCACTGAAGAACCTCTAGTAATATCACCTATGGTAAAACAAACAACTTAAAATTTGGACCTTTTGAAAAGATATCATGGAGCGGTTCATGGTGCATTAAGGAGAGAAGCGTTGGAGAGAGATCAGGAGGAGATAGGGAGTGAAGTTAGCGCGTCTCGAGCCTTAATGAGTTCAGCTTCAAGATGCTTGGATATATGCATATTTACCCATATTTGGTTGCGTTTTCATAATACCTCGTAGCAAATCATAAATATTTGCGTTTTTATCCAGAAAAACTGTCCGAACAAGAAAAAGACCTAACTAGTTCAATCTAGGTGTTAGTGGAAGGAAATGGACAATAAAGTCAGGCTACTGAGATAAGGTTGTTTAATTTAAGACGTTCTAACCCTGTTCATTTAGTCAAACCCATTCCCACCAATTAATGTAAATACTTGAATAGACCATTTTAAATTTTTATTAGGTTCTAATTTGAGCAACAAAAATCTAACTATTGCCTTAATTTCTTTTAGATCTGCCCACAAATGCACCACTTTCAAAAAAGAACCTGTACTCCACCTCAGGAAGAAACTGCCGTCCAACCAACTGCCCGTTAAATTTAATCTAATTTCTGCACTGTCTCATACCTTATTTTCTCATTTTTAATTGAACCTTTTCTCCCCATATATTCACATATGTGTGAAAGCAATTTTTTAAATATAAATCTTTGATTTTGTTTCACACTATCTTTTTTCCTTAGGGTTTTTTTATACTTTTGATGTGTGTGCATGTGAGCACCTTTTCCAAAAAATTTATCCCGAACTTTATGTAGGCTTTCAGGAATTTCGATTACAATTTATGCATTGCTATGTTTAAGCCTGGGGTTGAATAATATCAACAGGCCTGCCAACACATTTTCTTCAACCTACACATAGTCAAATTTGTGAAATTTGGAACCCACTTGCTTATTTGGTTGAGATAAAAGCTCAAACGAGAGGATGTCTAATTTCGGAATCTTAAGTGGGTGGTAATTAACTTGATCGTAAAGAAAGATCGATACTGAAAGCTCCTAAACGTTTTCGATTTACCGGAGTTTGGTCAAGAAAATTTAATTACTTTCAGTAATAAGTTAAATGACGTAATGCGTTAGTCAAATTTATATGACTGTGATCAGGAAGAAGACAACCTATTTAAAATTTTAAGACAGCTAAAAATAAAAGCCACATAAACCACTAAATTTTACAACTGCCAAATCCCCAAAACCACCAGCTGGAAGATGAACAGAGTTGAATATTCAAACACAACTACGGCCATAAGCTAATTAGATATTACAGATTCAATTTTGTCAAAACTTGTGGAATGACTCAATCAGAAGATGATATTTATACAGAAATAAGAATTGAATGTCCAAGTGCCATTAAAATATGAAAAAAATGCCCCCAAGATAATAATTTAATAATATTTCGAGAAGGGGGAGAAAATGAACAGTATCGGCAAGGAATTGAGGGAAATGAGGTGGGTGTTGCTAGAGAAAGCAAAAAAATACAGCAACAAGAAACTGTTTAATTTATGTGCTAAAAAGTATACCCTTGAGTACAATTAAATTGATTTGATTTTTACTTCTAATCAACCGCCAAGTTTAAGAAAATGCTACAGAGTAACGAAATGAGTATCTTCGTTGAGCAGTTGAGCGGAGTATACCGGTCTCACCACCTCTCCAGCAGTATAGGTTTATTGATAATTGGCTTCCCACGATCGTAGCCAGGAATGAAAACCTATTTGCTGCCAAATTACACTTTAACCCAGGCAACAAACCAACCTAAATCTCAAACTGTAAGTAAAAATCGCAATTTCGAAATAATGCCGTTTTGGAGTTACAAATTAACTGCTATTTTTTCTGGGCCTGGAAGGGTTGACGGGGGCATGGAGGTCACAGGAGAACCTTCACCATGAATCGATAAAGCCTACTACTCGGAAGGATGCGAAAAGATCTAAGCTCTACTCAACAATCAAGCGCAAAATCAGACTCCTAATTGGAAATAATGGGTATTAATGAGATATCATTGGTTTAAATAAGAAGAATTGAAGGCAATTCAACATTAAGCAAACTCAAATATCTTAAACTCCCACTTTTAATAAGAAATTGATTGCTACATTTTACTTTACATAGGACTTCGAATAATAGGCAAATAAATAATGCATAAAAGGAAGTCGACGACTATTAAAAATACAAATGCTTGTAAGCAAGAAGAAATAATAGTAATAGGGAAATCAAACTAGCACAACATAAGATCTCATTAAATTAACCAAAAATAAGCCGGAAATTATAATTTGATTTATTTTCCATAGTAACGCTGCGGTAAGTAGGTCGAAATGAATCGAATGAAGTGAGAGAAAATTGGCCAAAATAAACAAGTGATCAATTTTCGAAATGCCCTCTCACATGATGGTAGTAATAAAACAAAAATATAGCCCCATGCTAAAATAAAGCCAGGAGAACTGCGAAATAGCACCCAATGGACTATTTTGGGATCTCCTTTCGTTAAATGAGTGAACAGAGAGAAGTGGAAGGTGGGGGGTGGGGGGGGGGGGGGGGGGGGGGGGGGGGGGAGAGGAGAGTCGCCGCCTTTGAGGCAAAAGAACTCAAAGCGCCAGCTCCTCCGCAATTTGAATGAAATAAAAAAAGGGGAACAAAAAGTCATTCTTTTACCGAACACTAGTGACCAAACTAAAATACACGCTTAGCTGATCAGGAGAGAAGAAGAGAAGTTTATTTTAAAATTAACATTACGACTTAACAACACGACGATTATAGAGCTTATGCTCCTGCCAACTTGCTCCACTAGCAGGCCAGAGGTGCGCAAATCAATGCCCGCTGGTGCACTTTGAGTGATAGAACTCATGTTTCCGGGGATCCTAGCGAAAAACAACACGGAAAACCACCACTGAAAAAAGGTGATTTGAGTAAGACTGCCATTCCTAATTTTGTCAAGAACTTCTTGTCTGTCCAATTAAACACTTTTAGCCGGTACCATAATACAAGGCGATCAAGATAAGGCATGCTTTATCTGTGACCTTTGGGTTCTATGCACATAGGTTCCAATAAGTTACAGGAGTGATCAATACTGGTTAACCATAGGGCAGAGAATACGAGGTTATCACCAGGGTGGCTTTAAAAGTAGACGATTCATTCGCCACATCATGACAGCGAAAGGATTAACAAAATCCTCAATATTAAAGAACTTGTTTTATTCAATAAGTTTCATTTAAACCTGGTCGTTTGTTTAGCTTTGAAAAAGTTTCTACGAAGTGTTGGATAAAATGGGACAATTTTTCCCAAAAAATAAAAAAATGCACCCAGTAACTTGGCGCATTTACCAATCTTGTTGTTAATATTTTATATTTTTACATAATATTTAAAATATGCCAACTTTGCCTATCATTGCTGGAGAGTGTGAGCGAAATAGAGTTATAATTAATTCCGCGAATATCATTCCAAACGAAAGCAGTGGTCATTTGGGAGGCTTCCAAAGTTAGAACACAAAGTCTACTTCAGAACATCAGTACTATGAGCTATTTGAATGCAAAGCTTTACTAATACCCATTAACAATTAATAAGTGCATTAGGATTTAAAAGATTTGAAAAGGTAGTTGAAATCATATAAATAAGCAAATAGATTCACTAGGTCTATAAATATTT